TCCGGTAACCTCACTCATATACAAAGCAAGTGTTGTTTCACATCGGATTTCTGTGAGGCCGTGGTATCACTCCGGTGGAGCCGACACATTCGTACCAAAGCATGGCTCTCCTACTCTTAACTCGACGAGTATCGTCATTATAGACACAATTATAGAACAATAGGTTGCCGTTATCCGTGACCGCTTGGTTTTGACAGTTTAATTGGACTGGCGTATCCGAATAAAATAATGGTCTCGCTTTATGAGATCTTTCCGCATATTCAAGGTTCAGTTTATACTGGTTTGCATAGATTTGTGTAGCTATACATAACCAATTTACAATGGTCTCACATTGTATGACCTTTCCGTACATTCTACGGTCAGTTTATACTGGATATGCATTGTTTAAATTATGTAGCCGTGCCTACTGTAAACATATACAGGATGGAATTTTGTAATGCCACTCGAAGGGGAACTCTTAAACTGTCAAACACCAAGCGGTCACCGGTGACCGCAACCTATTGTTCTATAATTGTGTCTACACAACCGGTACTCGACGAGTTAATACTTTAAGTGCTTTAACCATTGGGTCTATTTATTTATTTATTACTTCTTCACCAAAGATGACAGTGAATGGCGGACTTAATGCCTTAAGGCATTCTCTGACAGTCAACCATAGGGAAGTGCAGAAAAATGAAGTGGTTGATGCGAAGCCAGAACACAATAAAAAGAAATCATTAATATTAAATAATATGCATAAAAACCTATACAATAAATATAACTACATGATATATTATAATTCTAAATAGACATATATACTATATAATATAATAATATATAGATAAAGGAAACTTTGTCAAAATAGTTTCCTCAATTGTTTTGAGTCTGCTAATGCTTAAATAAATGCTGGGTCTACCATTGAATTAAACTGTCTAACCTGCACACCTTAATTGTATTCTTTAATTGTGTCTATAATGACGGTACTCATAGGGTAAATAATATAAGATTTCTTTGTTTTCATTTCATTAACTCGTCGAGTACCGTCATTATAGACACAATTATACAACAATAGGTTGCGGTCACCGGTGACCGCTTGGTGTTTGACAGTTTAAATTTATGAAGTTTGTTAAAGAAATTTCGTCCTTATTGACCCTAACGATCGGTGCAATAAAGGTACAGGATACAACTTTTAAAGATTTTAGTCGGTTAGATTAAATATCGTTTGCGGCAAGCTAGTTCGTTCTTTTTAATTATAAAGGTATGTTTTCTTTTAGTAAAATTTTCTATGTAAAGTATTAAGAGTTTTCTATAATTTTGCACCTACCGCTTCAACTTTCTGCACCACCCAATGGTCGACTGTTAGAAAATGCTTACGGCATTAAGTCCGCCAATTTCAACATATGTGCAATAAAGTTTAATAAATAAAAAAAATTAATAAGAGTACTTCCTCTTCTGGTGACATTACAAAATTCTACCCTGTATATTTTTTTCTTTTATGTACTTAGGTATCATTCATTTAATTACTAAATATATACAACTTAAGATACAACAAGATAAAAACTAAATAAAAGAAAATTAAAAATAACTATTTACATAGGCCATCGAAAAATTCGTCCGCATCGACGTCAGTAGAGAAAGTATCCAGAAGGCTCCCAGCATTGCCACGTTGTATGGCAATGCTTAACCTCTGACCGAGAAAAAGACCAGCCCTCTGGTCACGAGATGACATAAAATAAAATATTATACCCTGTATAATATCGCGGAGAACCTAACGGGTTACCGGGGCTCCGGCTCGAAGTGCAGGAGAAGGAACAGGGTGGTTTTTAATCAGTAAGAGTCCGACACTCCCTCCCGCCTCACCCAGGCGAGAGCAGTCATTCGATGATTTTCCCCCCTTAAAAAAAAAATACCCTGTATAATATTATTTGATATGAATTTAATTGCGAAACATATTGACTTGACAGCCAACTATTGATAATTAGGATATTAGCCAAGAGAATATGTGTCATCCTCGGGTGTTGTCCCGTGCCTACACATAGACAGATGAAAGAGAACATTTAAATATTTTACGAACAAACTTTTACGTAGATTAGCACACGATATAACACATCAACAGCCTATAAGTGGGCACTGCTGACCAAAGGACTCTTCATGGAAAAGGTTTGAGCATTATTCAGTACGCTTGCTCAATGCGGGTTAGCGATTTCAAACGTATAATTCATTACAAATTATAAGCCCAGGTTTCCTCACGATCGGAGTCGCGGAGAACCTAACGGGTTACCGGGGCTCCGGCTCGACGTGCAGGAGAAGGAACGGGGTGGTTTTTAGTCAGTAAGAGTCTGACACTCCCACCCGCCTCACCCAGGCGGGAGCAGTCAATCGATAATTTTCCCCCCTTAAAAAAAGGTTTCCTCACGATGTTTTCCTTCACCGTTTGTCAGTGGTGTCTAGATAATCTTAGAAAGTACATGTAACTCGGAAAAAGTCACATTGGTGCTTGCCGTTGGTAGGTTTCGTTTTGAACACAGACTCTAATGCATAAGAAGTGCATGAGAGGTTGAAGATATTATATAATTATGCTTTAATTGCACGCCGAATAGGGCCCTAGAGGTTGTTGATATGTAAATTAATTAGACAATAGGGCTCATAACCATTTTTTAACGCCAATGTTAAATATTAAAAACATACCAATATACCGGAATAAACAACAAACAACTAAATATACCACAAAAAACCGTAACTAATAATCTCAAATTACAAAAAGAAAACCGTAAACAACTGAAAGAAAAACCCTAAACTTTAAAATTGTACATCACTAAACGTCAAGCCGCCATATTGGTTTAATCGTCATCTGCCAACTGTCACTGTCAATGCGATGAACAACGCGCGTTCGGATACAGAGAGCGACAGCGCATCAAGTTCTGAAGAAGACGTCGATTCAGGGATTGCTGAAGTTGCTGAAACTAGGAAAGAAATCGACTGCATGGATCTTTCCGAGTTTTTTGGTTACTGGTAAGTTTGTTTCTTTTATTTAGTTACAGTTTTGTGTTGCTACTGGGGTACTTTTCGGATTATACAAGACTTCCTTATTATTTGATAGGTAAATATTATGATCAAAACTACCTAAAGTGACAACAGCTGGTCTGAGGATTCATCCAAAAAATGTAAGCATTTAAGTATTTAAATTGTTCACATGCATTAGTAAAACGTTAAAAATCAAATTACCCGTCGATTTATTCGCCATTTTTTTAATAGGTATTAAGATAATAAGCTATGTTTCATCTGCTGCTCGGCTTCTATTAATAGTGGCGGTGATGTTTTATAGCCTATGTTCCTCTCCATGTAATAGGTATCTAAGGTATCTTCACAATCATGTCAATTCATAGATCTGATTTGCCGTGACAGACGGACTAACACACAGTCCTAAATATATTCTTATTTATAATTCTAATATATTGTCACAGACATGACACTCTTTGTTGATTGTATTTAATTTTTACACAGTTATAGTTAGTTCACAACTGTCATACCGACGGCGTAGATGGCGCTAGTATTGATTAAACGTAAACAGAGATATTTTATTAATATCTAATTCAGAGAATTTTTCTCATAAGATAAGAATCACTTAGCTTTTTTATGTGGTAACAACGGTAAACGAGCAGACGCATCACCTGATGGTCAGCAATCGGTATCGTCTATGTACACTAGAACACCAGAGACGTTACAAGTGCGTTACCGGCCTTTTAAAGATTAGGAATTTGAGGATTGTTAGGGAATTTAGGGACGGTAATTGGGTCAGCTAGTTTCTTAACAGGTATAGTTATACCTGTTTACTTATTATTGAGGTAGGTTAAAGTTGTTATTTGTATTCGAACACACTCAATCACACGATGAAACAAAACACAATCGTTATTTCACGCCAGTGTACTGTGAGGCCGTGATATCACTCCGTTCGACCGGACACAGCAGTGCCAAAGCATAGCTCTCCCACACTAATATTACAAACGCCTGAATTTTTACATGTGTCTATTTTTATTGTTGCGACTTTTTGTTGCTATCATATTTTGTGTAGGCGCTCGAATTTTATTATTATTTCAAAAAGAAATTCAATGTATCTCGTTTTTGTTTGTACAGTTGAGGTTCTCAATTACATTTTAAATTAGTTTAATATGATTGAGTATTGTGACTTTGTTATATCGAAGTATTTTAGGAAACGTAAGTATAAGGACTTCTTAGGTATGTATCTAGACAATATTTTGAAGTACCTATTTTTGGTAGGTAATCAAAAGGCTACATTTATGTACGTACTTACTATCATGCTTTTTATTACTCGAAGGATAAGCATAAATGATAAAAAAACATTAATTATTCATTCGAGTGAACCATTTGATATCACCTAAAACGCACCCACGACGTAGGAGAAAGACTTATGACAAAGCCACATTTAAAAAACCAAACAATAATAAAAAATACGTATAAAATCGAATTTATTTACAAATTACAGTTAATTTTTTAGTTACTAAGGACCTTATTAATTTTTAAGACACCACAGTCGTACGACCAGGTCGCGTACCACCAGAATGTATATACAATTGTATAGAAGAACGACTTGCTATCAACTTGGTTGCCCGACAAGTTGCCGGCGACCTATTTTTTATGGCAAAGGTCGGCAAACGAAGAAACGGATCGATTGTAAGCAATCAGCGTCGCCCATGGACACTAGTAACACCGGAGGAGTTACAAGAGCGTAACCAGCGTTTTAGGGGATAGGTATTTGAGAATTTCGGGGTTTAAGGACATGCAGATGATGCCTCTAGTACCTAACATTAGTCATATGAGTGAAACACAACGCAAGCATTGTACCACGCCGGTTTTTTTATATTTATTGGGCCGACGTTTGCCCACTATCTCGCCTGGTGGTAACCGATGATGCAATCTACGATGGAGCTCGTTGTCCCATAAGCAATCTATTCACTCGGGCCTTGAAGACATCCAGGTGAACCCTAATGTTTGTTCTGATGTCACTTTTTCACCAGACTATAATCAGATGTGGTGAAGTGGAATGCGCATTGTCAAGTAATTCCATGACCAGTGGATTGAGATGGTGGGCGAGACCCTCACGATGTTGTGTTTATAGCGGTCTATTTCTGACACTACCATTGGGATGTTCAGGTTTCGTGAATTTCGTCTGGTGTCTCTCTGCTGACGATATGGTTGCGCGACAAGTTGCGCGACAAGTCGTGCGATGTGGTGTCTTAATAATGAATAAGGCCCTAACCTTAGAGTGATCTTCATAGTAGATAAGTAGATTTCGTTGATAGCTGAAAACAAAAAATAAAAAGTTAAATAAACATTATAACATCACGCCTTTTATCCCCGAAGGGGTAGGCAGAGATGCACATTATACCATTATACAATATAACACCCACTTTTCAATATTTATGTTATGAGTCTCATGTAATAGGGGATGACCCTATTGCCATATACCGGGAACAATTTCCGACTCCGTGCTACAACTGAGATTTAAAAAAACGAACCAGCAATACTTTGCCCGACCTGGGAATCGAACCCGAGACTCGGCTAACGAAGCAGTCTAATTATTAAACTGTCAAGCACCAAGCGGTCATCGGTGACCGCAACCTATTGTTCTATAATTGTGTCTACAAAACCGGTACTCGACGAGTTAAATCCTACTAATATGATTATTATCAATTCAAAGGCTTGTATGTTTGTTTATCACTCCTTCACGTCAAAACGGCTGTAGGGATCGAGATGAAATTTGAAACAGGAGTAGATTATGGTCTGAATTATCACTTAGGCTACATTTTATCTGTCAAAAGCAAGTTATTTAATAAATAAATAAAAAAGTATCTTAAGTTTTCGTGTGTCTAAACGCGGGTCCATGCGAGACCCAATATATTTTCTATTATTGGTGAAACAAGTGAATTTATTTCTGCAAATAGGCTACAAGGCAGCACTTTTACACGTCAATTTTATCAAGCGAACGATGAGGCCGACATTTCCTAACTGACTACTCTGAGAAGAAATGCCGAAACAAACTCAAAGGTCCGTCACTTTTAAAGTCCAAACAAACATATATAAAAGATTATGTGTGAGAACCGTGCAAGTTCGTGGTGGTCGTGCATTCAAGAATCAGTACCAAAAAAATACTCACACAGCAATCAACGGGCTCCATACTCCATACCATCAACAACGTGGACACCGCCTCCATAATCACCATCCACGATATGGACGCTGCTGTCTCCATCCACAACGTGGACTCCCCCACCATATTGTCCATCAACAACATGGACTCCTCCTCCATACTGGCCATCGACGACATGAACACCGCCACCGTAGTCAGTCTCAACTACGTTAACTCCTCCGTAACTCCCGTCAACGACGTGAACTCCGCTGCCGTCTCCATCAACGACATGTACTCCCCCTCCATATTGTCCATCTACCACGTGGACACCTCCTCCATATTGTCCGTCTACCACGTGAACGCCACCTCCATATTGTCCGTCTACCACGTGGACGCCACCACCATAGTCTCCATCGACGATATGCACGCCACCGCCACCGTCCACGTAGTCTGTCACCTGGAACAGTGGAATTAGGACTTCAAATGCTATAGGAGATAGTCAAAGTCAAAATTATTTATTTCAAATAGACCAGGAAGGCGCTTTAGAACATCATCATCATCTTTAACAGCCGGAAGACGTCCACTGCTGGGCAAAGGCCTCCCGTTAGTCCTCCACGTCGAACGACAACTCGCCACCTGCATCCACTGGCTCCCCACAACTTTGGCGATGTCGTTGGTCTACCTAGCAGGAGGCAGGCTTCCTGCTACCTAGCAGGAGGCAGGCTTCCTGCTAGGCAGTGGCGTGGGCAGGCCCACGCTTAGTCTTACGGCTTCGGAACGTTAATAAAAATTTTTAAAGTGATGCTATATGCTCATTCCATAGTGTAGATTCTTACGGAGAAGAACGAGCAAGAAACTCCATCACATCACATCACATCAACAGCCTATAAATGCCCACTGCTGAGCAAAGCCTCTTCTTACTCGTACGCAGAAGGTTTGAGAGCATTAATCACCAGGCTCGCTCAATGCGGGTTGGCGATTTCAAACTTATAATTGGAAATTATAAACCCTGGTTTCCCCACGATGATTTCCTTCACCGTTTGTCAGTGGTGTCTAAATAATCTTAGAAAGTAACTTGGAAAATGTTACATTGGTGCTTGCGTTGGGTTGGTAGGTTTCGAACCCTCATGCATGAGAAGCGGGCTTCAACCTTCGGGCCACCACGGTATATTTTAAACTATCGAGAAACTCCATTCTTTTTTAATCAGCATCACAAGCCAGTATTGGATACACCCACAACACCGGAGAAGTTACAAGTGTGGGAGAGCCATGCTTCAGCGCGAATGGGCCGGCTCGACCGGAGTGATACCACGACCTCACAGAAAACCGACGTGAAGCAACGCTTGCGTTGTGTTTCGTCGTGTGAGTGAGGTTACCGGAGGCCCAATTACCCTCCCCTTCCCCAATCTCCCCAATCCCTGAATCCCCAATGATCCTCAAACTCCTAATCCCCAAAAGGCCGGTAACGCACTTGTAACGCCTCTGGTGTTCCTGGTGTCCATGGGCGACGACGATTGCTTACCATCAGGTGATCCGTCTGCTTGTTTACCGGCTTATGCCATAAAAAAAAGATAGCCGGCTTTTTGGGACGATGGAGAATGCGCCTCTACTGCTCTCACTCACCCGACTGCGCGGTGTGGTAGTGTCATGTCGGTGACCTGTATGTGTTATGACTTCGGTCGAGCCGATGCAGTAGCGTCCAAGCATCATGACTAATGTGTAACTGGGAATCGTCTGTCGTCGGCGGTATTTCCGAATCAATACGACCTTCAAACCTTCAAGAAAAGAGCGTATACCTTTTTAAAAAACCGGCAACGCACCTGTGATTCCTCTGGTGCTACGAGTGTCTATTGACGGCGCTGATCGCTTACCATCAGGTGTTCCGTCTGCTCGTTTGCCTCCTATTCCACAAAAAACGAGTTTGTCAACGCCGACGACACAGGAGACAATCCTAATGTGGGAAAACACTTAAAATACTTAAAAATATAAGTACTTACGTGGACACTACCATCTCCACCAACGAAATGAACTCTTTCATCACTCATTTTGTCAATACTAATACCAAGGATAATTTTAAAACAATATTTTCCTCAAACGCAACGAGGTTTTAACTCAAATAATGTTATCGAAGCACGCAAACGTGGTTCGATAGTGTTATCTATAGATATTGGTAATCAGACACCTGTAGATAAGTAATGGGCTGGTACACAATTCTTTAAAGTACAGCTGGGCAAAAAAGCATATGACGCGGTGGCAAGCTGGAACTAATACTGACTTTTTTTCTTGGCATAAGCTTGTAAACGAGCAGACGGATCACCTGATGGTAAGCAATCGGCGTCGCTCATGGACACCTGGAACACTAAAGGCGTTAAAACTGCGTTACCGGCTTTTTGGAGATTAGGAGTTTGATTATCGTTGGGAATTCAGGGATTGGGGAGATTGGTGAAGGGGAGGGTAATTGGGCCTCCGGTAACATCACTCACACGACGAAATACAACGCAAGCGTTGCTTCACGTCGGTTTTCTGTGAGGCCGTGGTATCACTCCGGTCGAGCAGGCCCATTCGTGCCGAAGCATGGCTCTCCCACACTTAAGACTTGAACTGAATTACCCATTTCGGACCAAGGACGTTGAAACATTGCGTTGCGGACACAGTATCTTGAAACAACGACTGTGGCACCTGGCTACTATAGACTTACACGCAGAATACACGCATTGCCACGAAGGACATCTGTCATTTTCTTAAGTCTGGTAACGTGGTACCCATTACACACGCACACATAAATACACCATTGCCTGCCTCATTGGCCGAGTGGTCGCAAGTGCGACTGCCGGGCAAGGGGTCTCGGGTTCGATTCCCGGGTCGGGCAAAGTATTACTGAGTCGATCAATTCACAGTAGTAGCACGGAGTCTGGTATTGTGCCCGGTATATGGCAATAGGCTCACCCCCTATTACATGGGACTCATAACATTAATAGTGAAAAGTGGGTGTTGTATTCATATTGAAATGCATTAATTTGTTGGCGTTGGCGCGATGGCTGGGCAACTGGCTGTCGCGCAACGTGTCGCGGGTTCGATTCCCGCACGGAACAACTCTTTGTGTGATCCACAGATTGTTGTTCCGGGTCTGGGTGTCATTTGTATGTGAAATTGTATGTTTGTAAACGCACCCACGACACAGGAAAAAATACTAGTGTGGGGGCAACGTTTTGTTTAAAAAAAAAATTGCATTAAAACATGGTATTATACTATATAGGTGTTACAATAAAATTAGAGCGTACAGTTGCGCTAAAGATACATAGCTTGCTAACTAAGAGTGTGTTTGACTGTGTACATTGTTATGACTGTACTCACAAACGGTGAAGGAAAACATCGTGAGGAAACCTGGACTTATAATCTCTAATTATAAGTATGTACAAGTACCTACTATTTCAGAGAAATAGACAGGTACTTGTAATATATTATTATCGTTTTTAATCATAAGTTTCTTCAAACAATTACCTATGAAGCATTCAGTAAACGTCTAAAGGGCTCGTACACAAAACTGCGATGCGACGTCGCATCGCAAAAATGTGCGAGTTCCCTCTACGCATTGGAAGAACTTGCGAATAGGATAGTTTCCTAAATTTTATTTTAATGTCCGTCTTGTACATTAATTTAAAACTTTAGACACGTATTTTTTCTTTTCTCACAAAATTAAATACTTTGGACGATATATTAATTTGAAATATCGTGTGACGTCACAGCGTGCCACATTTTGTAGCACGTTATGACGTAACGACCTCCCACTCCTAAACTCAACGCCATTTTATCTAAGTATTGCAACTCAATACGACAAAATAAAAAAATACGTGTCTAATATTTTTTCATTATCTAACTGACGAACTAATTAGATTTTTAATTTTGATACCCTGGAAACTACCCAATTGATTCGCATCGCGCATCAAAATCTTATCTTCCCAAAATCGTCATTGTTACTTTTTCCTGTATCTCCTAAGCAATAACAGAAGTGCACACTTCTTTTTACGATCCATGTCACGACCTAGTCTTCAATTTAAAATACGTTTAGTACGGTTGACAGTCGTCGAAGGAATGGTCACCCTGGGAGACGCCTTGTCGCACGAAATCGCATCGCAGGAATTCGCATCGTATTGTTTTGCGTTGCGAATCCGCATCGCATCGCATCGCAGCTTTGTGTACGAGCCCTAATACTAGACAACTGCGTAGAATATTCTTTGATTAGTCATTCCAATTCACTGACTGCCATTGACTGACTCGTTGGCCGAATGGTCGCAAGTGCGACTGCCGGGCAAGGGGTCTCGGGTTCGATTTCCGGGTCGGGCAAAGTATTACTAGCTTTTAAAAAAAATCTCAGTAGTAGCACGGATTCTTTTTTTTTTAAGGGGGAAATCATCGAATGACTGCTCCCGCCTGGGGAGTGTCAGACTCTTACTGACTAAAAACCACCCCGTTTCTTCTCCTGTACGTCGAGCCGGAGCCCAGTTACCCGTTAGGTTCTCCGCGACTAGTAGCACGAAGTCTGGAATTGTGCCCGGTGTATGGCAATAGGCTCACCCCCTATTGCATGGGACGCATAACATAAATAGTGAAAAGTGGGTGTATACAGGGGTATAATTATAAGGGTTGACCAGAATCTCTTACAGACAGGTTGGAGATCGCAGTATAAAAGGTTCAGGTATATCAGAGAGCGCTGCTGCCCGGTCTCTGTCTAATGTGTAGTCACTTAGTTGGGTATACGACACCCACGGCAAGAGTAGGTTCAGGTATATCAGAGAGCGCTGCTGCCCGGTCTCTGTCTAATGTGTAGTCACTTAGTTGGGTATACGACACCCACGGCAAGAGTAGGTTCAGGTATATCAGAGAGCGCTGCTGCCCGGTCGCTGTCTAATGTGTAGTCCCTTAGTCGGGTATACGACACCCGCGGGAAGAGTAGCGATGATGATAAATGTTTGTATTCTGTAAGTAAGAAATGAAAGGAAAATAATCAGAGAGAGTGTGTTAAGAGATTTATTTGCGTTAATTATACATATTATGTATTAAAATTAATCAGTAGATAATAATTATGAAGTAATTATCCTAATAGATTCTGTACCTGTAACAAGGAAAATGATATGAATTTAAAATTTATATTTATAACATAACATCACGCCTTTCATTCCTGGTGGCGTAGGCAGAGGTGAACATTACGGCACTTAATGCCACTGTACAATGTAACACCCACTTTTCACTATTTATGTTATGAGTCCCATGTAATAGGGGGTGAGCCTATTGCCATATACCGGACACATTTCCAGACTCCGTGCTACTACTGAGATTTTTAAAAACCCAGTAATACATTGCCCGACCCGGGAAACCGAGACCCCTTGCCCAGCAGTCGCACTTGCATTGCATAGGGGGTGAGTATATTCCCATTATACTAGACACAGGAGACAATCCTAATGTGGGAAAACACTTAAAATACTTAAAAATATAAGTACTTACGTGGACACTACCATCTCCACCAACGAAATGTACCTACTCTTTCATCACTCATTTTGTCAATACTAATACAAGTAGTAGCACGGAGTCTGGGAATGTGTTCGGTATATGGCAATAGGCTCACCCCCTATTACAAGGGACTCATAACATAAATAGTGAAATGTGGGTGTTATATTGTGCAGTGGCATAATGTGCACCTCTGTCTACCCCTGCGGGGATAAAAGGCGTGATGTTATGTTATGGAATACACCGATATGCTGGTCACTGTATCTAGTTTCTACGATCAAAATAATGAAATAACTTGATGTCTGAATATAGTTTTTAATCTATAACTTATTCACAATAATTCTTTTAATTATCTTTTATCATTAATTTCAATGAATTTACCTGTTTGGTTTGATAATACAATAATTATAATTCTTCGGCTTATCATGTGATAATTACGTGGCAGAATTATAAATAACATATTATACCGTGACATCTATTTCGTAGCACCTCTGCCTACCCCTTCGGGGATAAAAGGCGTGATGTTATGTTATGTTATGTTATCTATTTCGTTTTCATCACGCGGCAAAATAACTTGCCGTAAGGAGTAGTTTTGATGTATAAACAAAAACAAAACAATAAAGATGAAGTATAAGCGGTATTTCCGAACCGATACGACCTTCAAACCTTCATGAAAAGAGCGTATTCATTTTTAAAAGGCCGGCAACGCACCTGTGACTCCTCTGGTAGTGCGGGTGTCCATGGGTGGCGCTGATCGCTTACCATCAGGTGATCCGTCGGCTCGTTTGCCTCCTATTCCATAAAAAAAAGAAGCTAAAGTCCGCCGCGTCGCAGGGACATCAATAACTGTCTTGGATCCCGCAACGAAGTGAATCAGAAGATATTATAAGAGTAGAAGAAGAAAAAGCTATTGTTAGAAAAATACTTACTAAACCTAATTCCTTCAACCGACAATGTTGACCCCACTTCCGTCATCGTTGTCAACAATATTGACCCCGCCCCCGAACATAACGGCGCCGTCAACAACGTTGACACCGCCCCCGTTGTCAACAATATTGACACCGCCCCCAAACATTACGGCTCCGTCAACAACGTTGACGCCGCCACCGCTGTTTTCAGCAAATTGGACACCACCGTTGCCGTCAACCACGTTGACTCCGCTGTTATCGCCGTCAACAATCTAGAAAAAAAAGAAAATAAATATACAATTGTTTTATTTAGTTTGCGTTTGTTAGTTAGCGTCTTTAGTAATTGTAATTCCACCCCCTTCCTGACGACAGAACGATCTGATATTTGGTACACACTCTTAATCTTGATGACCATACAATATAATCTAATTATTTCCACAACTACCGTCACTATGGATGTCAAACGTAAAGGCTTGATTGGTAGAATAGAGCTGTTTAAAATTTTTAAAAATGAAAATATGAATTACTTGTTCAAATGTTTAAACGCTGGTTTCACTATCTCCATATAAGTACCTGATAAACTTAAGTGACAGATAGTTCATATAAATTACGTTCTTAATTCAAATTTGGTAGATAGCGGCTATCCAGCAGCTGTAGCCAAATGCCATTTAGCGCTTGTCTACATGTAGAAAAGAAAACTAAATTATATGGAATTGACGTAAATTTTGACACTTATCAGTGTCATCCCCATACATTTTGATTTCTACTCTCTCTGTAGACAAGCGCTAAAGTTGCGTTTGGTTAGAAGCACAGATATTGTGAAACAGGCCCTGAGGCTTATAATAATTATATTTTCTTTAGGAATTAAAATTGACTGCATAGTTGAGGTAGTGTGTTTCAATTTATACTCGGAACAATAACACAAATTGATGTTCCGTGTCTGTGTGTGATGTGTATGTGAACTTGTATGTTTGTAAACGCACACACGACGCAGGAGATAGCGTAGGGCGACATTTTTTTAAAGATAATAACTAAAGATAAAAATCACAACTTTAAATAACGTTGTTTTGCGCGGTGTGTACTTTTATAAGCCGTTATTTCATTTTTATTCACAGATTTTTACCTTAATATGTAGTTACTTTTCCAATCATATAATCGAACAAACAAGAAAAGACTACAATATGATTTCATTACAATAAATTATTTGACAATATTTCGGTCTAATATTCAAATACTCAAACACCACTCAGGTTTTTTTCGATTTATCCCGACTTATCTCCACTGACCACATTATAGACCTTGTTTCCGATGTTTAGAGACTACTTTTGTATAAACAAATTTAAGGGATGATATTTCAACAGGTTTCAGAAGGTTTGAGTATTATAATCACCACGCTTGCTCAATGCGGGTTGCCAATTACAAACTTATAGTTAGAAATTATAAGCCCAGGTTTCCTCACGATGTTTTCATTCACCGTTTGTCACTGATGTGTGATGAATCTTAGAAAGTACATATAACTCCGAAAACGTCGCAAAGGTATATCAGATTAATCACCAAGCTTGCTTAAGGTGAGTTGGTAATACTTAATTTTTCTTTTTATTTATGGCATGAGCCGGTAAACGAGCAGATGGATCACCTGATGGTAAGCAATCGGCGTCGCCCATAGACACCTGGAACACCAGAGGCGTTATAAGTGCGTTACCGGCCTTTTGGTGATTAGGAGTTTGAGGATCGTTGGGGTTTCAGGGATTGGGGAGATTGGGGAACGGGAGGGTAATTGGGCCTCCGGTAACCTCACTCACACGACGAAACACAACGCAAGCGTTGCTTCACGTCGGTTTTCTGTGAGGCCGTAGTATCACTCCGGTCGAGCCGGCCCATTCGTGCCGAAGCATGGCGCTCCCACTCTTGAAATAATTATTAAAAAATATCCACTAACCTGAACGCCACTCATGTTGATGATTTGTTGGGATGTTACAATAAATTCGACGACTCCGTCCTCGTTCGGTCGACAAACTACGCTAAAGTACCTTGACTTGCTTAATTTATCTACTTAAAGCACATTACTTTTATCTGTCTCACAATCTTAATGCGAGAGTTTTTGGAAATACGATAAGAAATGCTGCGATTTTTTGTAATTTTGAGTCAACAAAAAATTACGAGAAAAACTTGACTAGTTATAAGTCATCAAGGAGTCTTCCTCTTCTCACCAGTAGGACCTGTACCAGTAGGAGAGCTTTTCTCAGTATATCTAGGTGAGTAACTCATAATTTGACTGCCTTATTTTTATCTAACACTTGTTTTTATGATAACTATCGTGGGACATACTAAATTAACTAAAATCTTAATTAACTTTAATTTTTAAAAAATTATTGTATAGCCCGATAATCGAGCAGACGGATCACCTGAGTGCCGCCAATGGACACCCAAAATTCCAAGGCGTTACAAGTGCGTTACCGGCCTTTTGGGAATTGAGAATTTGAGGATTGTGGAGGATTCGGGGATTCGGGAGACTAGGGAGGGAGGTAATTGGGACTCCGGTAACCTCACTCACACGACGAAACACAACGCAAGCGTTGTTTCACGTCGGTTTTCTGTGAGGCCGTGGTATCACTCCGGTCGAGCCGGCCCATTCGTGCCGAAGCATGGCTCTCCCACACTTTGGGTTACTCACGTGAATATACTGAGAAAAGCTCTACTAGTTTCGAACCACAGAGGGGTTCTTCCTCATGAGCAGCGTGCGCGGTCGCGGCGATGTCGGGCAGCTTACTAACTAACCTACTCATATGCCTTGTTCACACTACGCTAGATTACCTAAAGCTTTTTGGGGATTAGGAGTTTGAGGATCGTTGAGGATTCAGGAATTGGGGAGATTGGGGAAGGGGAGGGTAATTGGGCCTCCGGTAACCTCACTCACACGACGAAACACAACGCAAGCGTTGCTTCACGTCGGTTTTCTGTGAGGCCGTGTTATCACTCCGGTCGAGCCGGCCCATTCGTGCCGAAAATATGCCGTGCCATTCATGTCATCAATACAATAAAGTTGAGGAAGTAATAGAGAAATTTAACAGAAAAGTTAGCCCGCTGGCCACTGTACATCGAGGAAAGAATAATAAACATAGTGTGTATCAGGAGATTTATTGATATGTATTAAACTTAATCAGTAGATAATAATTATGAAGTAATTATCCTAATAGGTTCTGTACCTGTAACAAAGAAAATAGTATAAATTAATAATGTAGTACCAATTACTTACCTCTATGTAAGTACAAATATTTGATGAACAGTGTAAAAATTTCATGCAATAGTTGAAAATTTTTGAACTACTACACACAATGAATAAGCCGTGAGGGGCTTATTAATTGTGTGATAAGACCGCCCATTGTACGCATATTTAATTGAATTGTTTGTTTTAAGCTACTTAAATGTGTACAATAAAGCATATATAAATAAATAAATAAACCCCTTTTTTTGAGGGCGGAAAATCATCCAATGACTTCTCCCGCCCGGATGAGGCGGGAGGGAGTGTCAGACTCTTACTGACTAAAAACCACCCCGTTCCTACTCCTGCACCTCGAGCCGGAGCCCCGGCAACCCGTTAAGTCTTCCGCGGCTCCGAAATAAATAAACCCCTAGGATTACAATAAAAAAAAACATTATATTAAAGTCGTATCATACAGTTTATAACCTATCTACTAAACTAACATGTCATATCATACATACATCACATACTAACATGCATATCATACATACATAATAACACCAAGGATTTTGAAGAAAAGGCGAACATAGTATCTTGGAACCACCACTGTTAGAGTTACACTGACTACTATAGAGTTATATGCAGAACATAAATATATTGACACGAAGGACATCTGTCATTTTCTTAAGGCTGGTAACGTGGTACCCATTACACACGCACACATAAATACACCACTGACACTTTGGTGCTTCAATCATTTCTAAGTTACATTATGTTCACCTTTTTTCCACGTCCTTGAACTCATTAGTCAGTTTCCATCCGCAGTTGAATACAGACCTCTTTTCAGTACCATGAATTATAGAAAACCAATAAAATAAATACTTACTAAATCTAAATTTATTCAACCGACTATGTTGACCCCGCTACCGTCATCGCCAGCGAACTGGACCCCGCTACCGTCATCACCAGCGAACTGGACCCCGCTACCGTCATCGCCGGCGAATTGGACCCCGCTACCGTCACCACCAGCAAACTGGACTCCGCCGCTATTGTCAGCAAACTGCACACCACCGCTGTTGTCAGCAAATTGGACGCCACCGTCACCGTCAACCACGTTGATTCCGCCGTTATCGCCGTCAACAATCTGAAAAGTGTTTTTTTTTTAAATGAAAAGTTACAATCACAATCCTTATTAATTAAACTGTCAAACACCAAGCGGTTAATACCAAGCGGCACAGTTTAATTAACTAGCTACTTCCGCGCAGTTTAACTCGCTATGCTCGACCCTTTTTAATCGTAGCGTGATGTTTTATAGCCTATAGCCTTCCTCGATAAATGGGCTATCCAACACAGAAAGAATTTTTCAAATCGGACCAGTAGTTTCGGAGATTAGCGCGTTCAAACAAACATAAAAAACAAACTCTTCAGCTTTATAATATTAGTATAGACTACCAAGACAGTAGCATATATTTCGGAACTAAAACGAAATAGATTACACGGTGTATAAAATAAAATTGAAAGATAATAATAAAAATAAAATATTTAAAAAATAAACTTTTAGCTCAGCATTTATGGTCATGCAAACTAGACGTGTATATAAAATTTCAGCTCAATCGGTTGAAGATATTTGCTTCAAAATTCAGTTGGAAGATTCCACTTCAGACACACACACACATTGTAAGTTAAACACAAGCTTGCAAAAATACCCACTAACCTGAATACCACTCATGTTGATTTTTTTTTTATTTTACAGAAAAAAAACAATTGAAAAACGCGTCCTCGTTCGTCTAGCCCACTGATAAAAATATTTAGGTTCTTACGATTGTCTACACATATATACTCGAAGTATATTATAGCTTTTGTCTGCGGTTTCGCTCGCACTCGTTGTCCCTACAAATTTCGGGTCGGATTTCCCAAAAAAATATGCATCAAAAAAAATAATTATGAATTTAGTATGTCCCACGAAAGTTATAAAATAATACTAAAAACGATGCATTATTTTTTGGGGAATTTTTTACTGCATCTCTATTTAGAAATTTAAGCAAACCAAATTTCTCCACTAATAGGTAACCGACTGCATATCAAAAAAAAAATACTTTACTACAAATTAACTACATATTACTAATTGTAAAACAAAAATACTGATTTGCACACAAATTGTTCAAAATTACGTAACGGAATTTCCAAAATAGGTTAGGTTATGAATTATTAGATTTACAAAATAGGTTAGGTTTTTTTTTATGGGGGGAAAATCATCGAATGACTTCTCCCGCCTGGGTGAGGCGGGAGGGAGTGTCAGACTCTTACTGACTAAAAACCACCCCGTTCCTTCTCCTGCATGTCGAGCCGGAGCCCTGGTTACCCGTTAGGTTCTCCGCTACTCCGTTACAAAATAGGTTAGGTTAGGTTATGAATTATTAGTGTAATTGATTTATTTTTGGTGGTAATATCGAATATTTTGATTGAATAAAGGGAATTTACAGTTAGAGTATTATATACCACCCTTATTTTTCATCAGTCAAAAATTATCCACATCTGAAAATTACAAAATATTCCATACCAACTTCCACCTCCCATTCCAGGAAAGTGGGGGGTTAGAAAAAGATAAAAGTAGCCTATGTCACACTTCATCCCTTTCACTATCTCCACTTAAACTGTCAAACACCGCGAGGTCACCGGTGACCGCAACCTATTGTTCTATAATTGTGTCTATAATGACGGTACTCGACGAGTTAAAATATCACGTCAATTCGTCGCTCCGTTTTGCCGTGATAGACGGACAAATAAACAGACACATACATTCGCATTAATAATATTCGTACGGATGATTATCTACACATAAACACATTATGATTATCTGTCTGATAATCTATATAGGTAGAAGTATTTTTTGGAAATACGATAAGAAGAGCTGCGATTTCTTTTTGAGTCATAACAATTCTAATTTTCGGCCACGGATTTATCAATGTGTGTTTGTCATAACATAACATCACGCCTTTTATCCCCGAAGGGCTAGGCAGAGGTGCACATTATGCCACTTGTATAATGTAACACCCACTTTTCACTGTTTATGTTATGAGTCCCATGTAATAGGGGGTGAGCCTATTGTCATATACCGGGCATAATTCCAGACTCCGTGCTACTACTGAGATTTTTTTTAAAACCCAGTAATACTTTGCTCGACCCGGGAATCGAACCCGAGACCCCTTGCCCGGCAGTCACATTTGCGACCACTCGGCCAACGAGGCAGTCCTTGATGACCATACAATATTATAATCAATTTTTCCACGACTACCTCTATTATAAGGATATCAAACGAAAGTGGTAGATTCGAAGAATAGAGCTCATTAAAGGCTCGTACACAAAACTGCGATGCGAGGTCGCATCGCAAAAACTTGCGAATTGATTCGCATCGCGCATCACACTCTTATCTTCCCAAAATCTTCTTTGTTTCTTTTCCTGTATCTCCTAAGCAATAATAGAAGTGCACACTTCTTTTTACGATCCATGGCACAACCCAGTTTTCAATTTAAAATACGTTTAGTACGGTTGACGGTCGTCGAAGGAATGGTCACCCTGGGAGACGCCTTGTCGCACGAAATCGCATCGCAGCAATTCGCATCGTAATTTTTTGCATAGCAAAATCGCATCGCAGTTTTGTGTACGATCACTAAAACCGTTTAACATAAGTTTTTTTTTTTTTCAAAACGTTGCCCCACACTAGGATTTTCTCCTGTGTCGTGGGTGCGTTTACAAACATACAAGTTCACATACACAATGACACCCAGACCCGAAACAACACTTTGTGGATCACACAAAGTGTTGTCCCGTGCGGGAATCGAA